GCATTCGCGAACGGTTTTCTGAAAATTCGGGGCCGAGAAATCAGTCTGTGAATGTGCTCGACATAGTACAGACATTTCTATTATTTTTTACTGAGGATTTTGTAAACAATATCGTTCAGGAAGCAAACACTTATGCGCAACAAATTTATATGTGGGAGGGTTTTTCCATTTAGATAACACCATCCCCCGGCTTCGAGAAAGACATTTTATTAGTAAAATTCCCCCATCAGGAAAAAAGGCTAGACCACAAAGGTGATGTGAAGTGTGTACAAAAAACAAAAGAAGAAAAGAAACCGTGTACTGGTGCAGTGATTGTGATATTGGGCTATGTATTGACAAGTGTTTTCAGGATAACCACACCAAACTCAACTTTTAGCAGATGGAGTGAGTAAAAAAATATTATTTATCATAATTATATTAAAAATATATATATAGTTTTGTTCTTCGTTTCATTATGAATATTTCTGTGAAAATTTTATCTCATACCTATTTTTGCGAGAGTTACTAAGTTTTTCATGGATAAGTGAATTTTTCTGTTTAATAATTAAATACCCCATCGGTTTGGCGGTAGGAAAAGATTTAAATACTATCCGTCGCGGAAGGGTTAATTATTCTGTTTTCTCCATCAGTTATAGAGTGTATTATTCATAAATGTAATTTTTGTCCACATGGGGAAGATGAGAAATGCATACAAAATTTTGGTCACAAAATGAGAAAGGAAGAAATTATGTGGTTGAACCAGGAATTGATAGGATAAGAATATTAAAATTAATCTTCGAGGAGTAGGGTCTGAGGATTTGGACCAGATTCATATGACTTAGGACAGGGTCCAGTGGGAGGCTTATGTAAGCAGAGTAATAAACCTACAGATTACATAAAAGAGGAATTTTTTACCAGCTAAACAACTGTCAACTTTTCAAGAATATACCTGCACCATGGAGTTTGTTGCTTGGTCACTTAAGTAGGTCACTAGTTTTGAATTCATAAAATCATATTTTGTGACAATTCTCATGATTGTTATTCCCTAAAGATAATTAGAATTGACTGTACCTTATATTTATGCAGTTTTTGCCTGTTAGTATATAGTATTGTCATTTCACACAGCCAACATGTGACAACTGGTGTTACAGAAGTGGGAACTTAAAACATGAAAACACCACTTGAAAAAAATGGAGTCACAACAACTGATGGAACTCCTATTGAAAAAGATGGACACCAACCAGGCAAAGACAGACACTCTTTTGCTGGTCATTCGAGAAGATAGAAAAGCCATCCAAGAAGAAATGAGAAGCGACCGAGAAGACAGGAAGGCTGACTGAGAGGAAATGAGAGTCGGCCAATTACAACTGTGAGAGGAAATGAGAGCCAACCAGGTGAAGATGGTGGCCTGGCTGCAAGAAGAAAAGCCAACCTCAGTGGACATGAAACCTGAGGTGGCACAAAAAGAAGAGGTCCCCATAGAAGACACCACAGTGATGACAGTCAGAGAACCGAAGAAGAAACGGTGTAGGCAATGAAAACTGGCCTCAGAGCGTCGCTGCCAGATGAAGGAATGGCCCTGGAATCAGGATGGGTTCTGAAAACGAGAGGCCATCACCCACAGAGGGACGAGCCGGTGTGCAAAAGTGGCACGGCAGATAAAGGAAAATGTCAGGAAGGTGTCCTGTTGCACAGCAGTGGCACGATGCAAGAGAGATGCCTTCAAGAAAGAATGGACCCAGAATCAGGATGGGTGCAGGAAGAAATGTGCCACCGCCTGCAGAAGGATGACCCGCTGTGTAAGAGTGGCACAGTGCAAGGGACACATTATCGGGAAGAACCAGACTAGGAACAACATTGCAAGAGGAGCCCTGAGAGTGTGAACATTCAGGAAAAGACTTCAGGTGGATCCAGAGGACAGCACTGGAGTGAAGGATCAATGCACAAAACAATGGCTGCATCTTTGGAACAAGAGGACAGCCAGCCGAACACTCAGGAAGACCCCCAGGGCTGCAGATCGCGAAACGAGCAGTAGAGAATTCCAGCGGGTTACAGAAAGTCAAGAAGTGGATCTTGTGGTGGAGGGGTCAGTCCCCTCCAAAACAATAAAGAATTATGAAACAGAGGAAGAGCCAGTAACATAGAAGCACCACAACCCCAGCATGAATGGAAAATGGATGATGACAAAAACATGGTTGATTGGTAGTACAACTGGATTGGCTTGCACCCTACCACGGAGCTGCTCCGGACGAGCATCCTTGAAGGAGGAGGTGGATGTGGTAGAATGAACACCGCAAAGAATGGCAAGACTGAATGCAGATGTTGCTAGCAGGAATCCGCAGGAATAACGGGAAGAATGGGAATGCACCGTTAGGCTATTTGGGAGGGAGCAATGTGACGTATTTGCTCTATGCAGGAACTGTTGAGCCACAGAAGCCTCGGGCATGTGCGCAACACAAGAGTTGCGGATTTTATTGGTGAGTTGCTAGGCAACAACTCTGTGAACGCTTGAATAGCACAACGGGAAATGCAAGTGAAGTCACATATCCCCACTCATCCCATCACTATGCAACGCTCAGTAAACACCCCTCCCCACTAGGCTGTGACGTCACGCAGTAGTGGAGTCCGTGCAGCGACCGTTGTTAGGCAGTTGGTCGGTAAACACGTCCAACAATATAGGCTGTTTTTTGTGTGGTCTGCAAGAGGCCTGTGTAAGTGGGTTCAATGCGGCAGGTAGTTCAGTTGAATTCTAGCAGTCGCTGAGTACAGTTGAAATATGGCAGCTGCCGAAGAGAGTTGAATTCTAGCAATCATCGAAGACAGTGGAAATTGAGAGTTGAAAGCTTTGATTAAGGCAGTAATACTGCAGGTGACAGGAATTGTGAATTGTGTATGTGTGGATAAAAGTATGCAATAAATTCGCTAGATCCAAAATTGGCATCAAGTTATTTGTCACGTCACACAGCCAACACATGACAGTATTATTACACATTCATCAACACAACAATTTTGTAATAATTAAACAGTATTACTATATTTATTCATTTATTACGTACATTTGCTACATGTTTCGATGCAGCTGGATCATCATCAGGCAATATTGATGAAATGTACTATGTGTATTGAATTGTATTTCTAATGTGGATCTGTATTAGTGGTCATTAATATAAATTTTATTATGATTCTTGTGTTTTGTTACTTTTGCATATTAGTCCTGAAATGCAGAATATTATCACTCAGAAGTTAAAAATTAGTAGTAATACAAAACAGTATGCAAGCAGTAAAGAAACTGTTGGTATCTTTCTCTTTCTCCATGATATTTCAGTGTTTAAGAATGGTATTTATGACTGTGCAGCTACACCATTAAATTGTCTTACATATTCTAAATTGACTTAACAGTTGGTTAGTTTACCTTCTTGTATTAATCAATCATTCCATTGTTTCCAGCTTCTTTGGATCCAATGTGCCCACATAAATGAGTGAAAGTAACACATGGAATGAAAATTAATGAATGGGCGTGTAACATATTTATCAATTTGTCATTTGATAATGACCATACAGTGGGTTCTGGTTTGGTATAGATTTATTAGACACTGATTCCTCTTATCTGTAAATGATCACAAGAGTTCACATGTATTGACAGCGGTTCACACTCAGTTACTCTGTTGTCACAGACTTGTTGCTAGGTTACAGGCTCCTTGTCACAGACTCTCATTATCATTCCATCATTGCAGACTCCTGTCATCAGCACTCTGTTACTGCAGACTCTCTGTCACTTGCATGCTCTCTGTACCACCTTGTTGTGGACCAATGAGACATTGAGCTCAACAGTACTTTGACTGGTGAGGGTGCATCCATTGCCACAGATATATTTTATTGTGACATTGCCTAGTGATGGATGCCTCTGTGATTCCAGGATTCTGAGGTCTATGAATTTTAGCCATACTTTCATAGTCTATTTTAAAATATTGTTTTGAAACAAAACTATCATTAAATCGTTCCAATTCAGTGAATTCTAATTATATGTGCTAATTACCATCTTAGGTTTGGCTTGGTTGTCTCTTATATCTCCTGTCTAGCCAGTGCAGTAGTAATTGTTAATTACAGCAGTCAGATTATACATTAATATGTTGTTTTACAGTCAAGAATTGGGTGCTGATGAACCTGCCCTGCCTCCAGGTTGGGAAATTCGTCTTACTGAGGATGGAGTGAGATACTTTGTTGACCACAACACTCGTACCACTACGTTCCAGGATCCACGTCCTGGTGCCCCTAAAGGGTATGTAAAGGATCTGTGTATGATATTGTTACCTAGGCAGCATGTTGGTAAAGAACTTCCTGCGAAGACGGATTCTTGGTAAACAGCCCGTTGGTAGGTTGCACAACAATTCTGACAACAGAAGAAGTGTTTTCAGTTTCATCCTCGCAATGCCCAGTGCTAAGCAACAGAAATATAAACATGTCTACAGTAATGGGTGTTTGCTATGGGGTCCATGCCAAAGGTTTATGAGGGACAGTGGATATTTTTTGAAGTCAGTCATAGCTGAGAGGCCATGAGTCAAGGACATGAAGCTGTCACAGAACAGAGTCTAGGAGGTTTCAGCAGTTGAGAGCACAAGGATGAGAATGGAGCGTGTCCTTAGTGAATTGTGAAGATTGATTGAGTACAGATTAGGACAGAGGAGTACAGAGTGAATGAAGACAAAATAACAAGAAGACTTCATAGTGGTTTGAAGTGCTAGTTTCTGTGTTGAGATCCGTTGCCAGGAGACGACTAGTGAAGATGGAGAATCCTAATATATGTGCAATGGTGAACTGTAAATTGTATAAATCAGCAGTAGTGCTATATTAATTGTAGTTAAGAGAGAATGTAACGAAAGTGCTAATAAGTCCAGTCATCTAAACTAGAACCTGTTTTTTCATCACATGTACCCCCATATACATGACAGTATCACAGAACACTACCTACAGATGTTTAACTCAATGCTATTGGCTGAACACATGGACTATATTGCCATCTTTTTTCTTGGTGGAGAAATAATAGTGTGGCTGGCATCAGCAGGACCTTCAATTTCAACAATAACATGTCTGTGGCTGCAGTATTCTTTAATATTGAAAAAGCCTTTGATACAGTGTGGCACCATATAAATTATATAAATTAAAATTTTTGATCAGTCTAATCAAGCTTATTAGCTCTTCTTCCTGAGAGAAAATTCAGAGTCTCTGTCAAAGGTGAAATGTCTGTGCCAAAAGATATTCAAGCAGGGGTGCCACAAGGTTCCATCCTGTTACCCACATTGTACAGTATGAATATATATGAGTATATATAAATGATACGTCCCAAATACCTGGTGTCTATCTAGGTCTCTTTGCTGATGACATCTGTATATATGTAACAGACCACAAAGAGGGTAATTATGTTCTCAGGCTGCAGCTAGGTCTCACTGGTATTGAGACATGGTGTGAGTACTGGAACATAAAAATCAATGGAGATAAGACTCAAGGCATGTACTTTTCCCATAGACTTAGGCGCCCTGAGGCTGATCTTTCACTGATTGGACAGAATATCCTCTTCATGATTGATGTAAAATATCTCTGTGTAATCTTCAGTAAGAGGATAACATGGAGACTGCATATAGAAATGATTGAAGCCAAGGCCTTCAGAACATTTATTACAACCTACTCCCTATTCAAAAGTGTGTGTTTAAACGCCAACGTTAAACTAACCCTTCATAAAACACTGATTAGATCAGTAATGACTTATGCTTGCCCCGCCTGGGAATTAGCAACAGACGCTTGTGTGGTTCTCCGCACCAGTGGAAGTTTTCCAAGGTGCACACCAGTCTGTGATTTGCACATGGCTTTCAACCTTCTGTATATATAAGACTGTGTAACAAAATTGTGCAGGCAGGAAACAAAAGTCATAAAAAATCATGAGAATGAACTTGTTCATAGCATAGGACAAGGCAAAGCCAGACATAGAAAATATAAGAGGCTTAAATTTGGCGGTAGTCAAGCTTATGACCATTGAGGTGACTAAGCTGCCGTTGTCGCATAAGATACACATGATCTGCTTTGCAAAGCATATATAAAGCACAAAGAAAAATTTTCAATAACATGCTATATGTGTGATATGTACACTTGACAGAGGATTCGTAAGGAGAAACTCATCCTCTTGTCAGAGAGGATGTTACTTAAGGACTATGACTATAAGGGTTCAGTTGCCCCCCCCCCAAAGAAAACCCCGGTCGTGAGTCCCAAGGGATTTGACACCAGGATCAACTGATTGGTGGTAAACCACTAGTCACAAAGTAACTCTGACCCTGAATCTGAGTGAGTGAATGAGTTAGATAACCCATGGTGTTCAGTTGCTGTGAGGAGCTGGTAGCTGAAGCTAGGGATGGTTCGGGAACCAAAAGGAAAGGGAACGTCCGCCATTGGAAGACATTACCAAGCAACAGCTGTGAAGATTGTAATGGACTGAGAAGACCTAATGTGTCCTGTAGTGGTTTCTGAAGTGCGTAGAACAGTGAGAGCATAATCTTTGCTTATAGTTACAAGTTGTAAGAGTTCAGTAAATCCAATTCCCAATCTGAACCCCATCTGTAGTCGCTGAAAACGTGACAGTATTATATTTCATTTGACTATCCAACTTCAATGTTCATAGTTTTGAACTCATTTCTAACCTGCTTCTATATCTGAATGTATTTGAAACTGGCTGTGTGCCCTACAAATAGTGAATAGGACTGATGTAAAAAGATTCCAATAGATAGCAATTCAATTTCAGCATGTAAAGATTACACACTGTGGTAATAAGATCAGCATATATTTGAAGAAATGAATTGATGGATTGAATCGGTGGAGTCACTACAGTAACCATATCTGTTCTTTCTTTCAAGGCCAAAGGGTGTATATGGTGTACCTAGGGCATATGAACGCTCATTCCGATGGAAGCTGAGTCAGTTTCGGTACTTGTGCCAAAGCAATGCACTGCCAAGTCACATCAAGATCACAGTAACACGACAAACACTCTTTGAAGACTCATACCACCAAATCATGAGGCTTCCAGCTTATGAGCTACGAAGACGACTGTACATCATATTCAGAGGGGAAGAGGGATTGGATTATGGCGGAGTATCCAGGTAATTCGAGTAAATAATGATTGTAGTTGTCCAACTATAAGTCTCAAATATAACTCCACTTCCAGCATAAAATATTAGGAACAGGCAATTTTATTACTTGTCGAGCTACAGTTCTAAGGTATATTTCTGTAGTGCAAACTTATATTTTCATGTAAGGTTTGACACTCTCACAGCAGTGGTTTTGAAGAGTCTTATCTTCTGGGATATAACAGTATGTACTCTGATGAAAGTTTTGGAGGAACATGTCACCTCCAGCTTGCTGCCTGTATCCTGCTAGTTTCTTATTTAATTTACCCTTTGCCCCTGAAGATGGAGGCAACGCGTTCCTCCAAAACACTGGTTGACTTTCACCAGACATGATATTATATCCCAGAAGATAGAACTCTTATATTTTTTCCCCGCATCTTTTCCTTCTGCTCATTTTAAGTCCACAAAATTCTTTTCTGGTAAAACTTGCATCTGTATTCTTTGTCTTTTCTCCATTGTCACACTGTCAATAGAAATACTGTACTTCCTTGGTTCCATGAAATCAGTAGTCTATTCAATAGATCTGACAACCGTTACTAAAAACAGATCATAAGAATGAAGGACCCATTACAGCAATAGTCTCTTGCTTCTACACGATGTACTATGATCACATCACATGCTTGTTAAACTCTTATTTAATGGCGCAGTTATTGTACCCACAAAATAGATCTCTTAAAATTAATGTAATACCGGGTATGATGGGTCACATGGTAGCATAGTTGGTTGAGGGGCTATGCTACAAGCCGGAAAGTCGCGGGTTCAGGTCCAAGTGAGGGCAACGGATTTTTTTTCAGTTGACCTAATCTTTCCAGCCACACTATGCCCTGTGGTTTACTCAGCCTCTAACAGAAATGAGTACCAGGAATTAAATAATTTTCCTGAGGAGTAAAGCACAGCCTGCGTGTAAGGCTAACAACCTTACCGCCATCTTTGATCCAATTGTCTAGATAGTGTGGGACCCTCAGCGTCTCGCAACCCAATGGGCCTTCACAGCCTGGTACAGGGATAGCTTTACTTTTACCATGTATGATACCTTAAATTGTTCTCAACTTACCTGTGATGTGTCTTGTAACTTTTATATATCAATATAGGAATATTTCTGATATCATTATCATGGGTTGAGCAGGAGTGGAGACATTGGGCTTATGGATTCATGCCTGATGGATAGTATATCATTATGATATATATATTAAAAGTAAAGCCACTAGCTGTAATGTAATGGACTTCATTAATAGAGACCTGTATAAATTTCTTACCAGCATGGAATTCTCAGTAGTGACAGTCTAGTGATTACTGGTTTGAAAATGTTGTTGCATTAACCTTTAACATACAGACTTTTAAATTGCCGGCAGCCCTCTGCAGCTGATTTTTAAATTGCCCTAATTAATTAACATTTCAAACTTTCAGAAAAATCCACATTTTCTGTTCTGTGCAACATAGAAATACAAACTAAAAACAACCTGAAAGACAATAAAATTTTCTACATATACACAAAAGACCAATTTTTACAAACGAAAATTAACTGTGATTATTTTGTCATCAATTGCAAAATATAATCTTTATTATATATATTATGAAATTCCAAAGGAGTTACCCATTGTTTTTTCTTCAACCTTGAATCATGGTGATATTGTAAATATAATCGCACTATATGCAATAATATTTTGTTCAGACTGTACACGAGTTTGAATTGCGTCACTTCACAGTTTACGATACACTCTGACGCGCAGTCCACCTTACGCAAAGAGACATCGCACTTTTTACAATAGAGGAGCATGCTCCTGCTTTTCTTATTTAGCGAAACACATGATAACGTCTTTGTTTCCCTTTGGTTGGCCAGTGATATGAATGTTTCACCTCCAGTCAACTCATTTGGGACCCCTGATAACTTTGGCCTTCCCCTGAGAAACGCCACTGACCATGCTATTCGGCTTGTGCAATTGAAGAATCATCTTGGGGGAGGGGGGTTTCTAGCAAAATCAAATAAATTATGTTGATTGACAAAGCGACACTCTCACCTGTTGGTAATACTCGCAAGATGGTGATGAAAAGTAATTATAATACTAGTCGAAAAGAATGCCAGTCCGGCACATACTGAAAGTCGCAGTGGCGAAGATGCCTTTTACTTACAAAGTAATACTGGCTCAGTGGGTTTATACCTCTTTCAAGACTCAAAATAAAAATGATATATAAAGAAATATATGCCAGTCTGACACTGACTTTCTAACTGATAATTCGCCACTGAAAACCAATCCTTGAATGCGTCAGACTTCCTTGAAGGCTCTGGAAGCACTCATATGCAAGCGTCAATGAATATTTCCTCATCAGTTCACGAAACAAAGCTGGGCTATATTTGGCTGAGCAGGTCATAAACAGTCATATCTAAACGTTAATAGTATCGAAACCAGTACCATGATAAACGATTTTTTGTTCAGAGCTAAGGAATGAACCACTGACATGACCTCACGTAGGTTTGTTTTGGTTTCAAACCCAAGGTCAAACTGTCAGCACTCCCAAAGAGTGCATGTGTCCTGCGTCACATATACGTGTCATTCGGCCAAGTTCGGTTGCTGCTTGCAACATATATATGTGCCATTCAGACATTAAAGGTTAATGACACTGTGTGGCTATACAGGTTTTGTTGAATTGCATCTGTTTTTCTACATATTTTTTCTTTCATTCATAAATGTAAATAAAATTAAATAACTGTAAAAAAATTATCTTCTAGTTTGGTGAATGTGGTAAGTAATTAGCTCACTCTCTGAAAACAGAATCAGAAGTGTAACAGTTCCATTGTTGTGTTCTAGGGAGTGGTTCTTTCTGCTGTCTCATGAAGTGCTCAATCCAATGTACTGCCTTTTTGAATATGCCAATAAGAACAATTACAGTCTGCAGATCAACCCAGCCTCTTATGTCAATCCAGATCATTTGTTGTATTTCAAGTTCATTGGGAGGTTTATTGCAATGGTAAGAAGCTAATTCTTATTTGTAAGTTATCAGTTTTGTGACACTGGTTTTTTAAGTGACCATGTAGCCGTCCAACCTTAGACATATGAGCTACATTTCATAAAAATAACTGGTGGGGGAATAATCTTTAGAGTCTCAATTTTTGTAACAATTCAACTCCTAATGATCCATGATGTACTATGGCAAACTTTATTCCATAAGACATAGTCAGTTTCACTGCATCTTTGGTTGCAGTTGGCTGTCATCAAGTGGAAGTCATATACAAGTTCATAAATTAATCGAAAAGCCTTAAGACTAAACAACAATATTTTTGTAATCTTATGATCTAAGTCAAATCATATATTGTGTAATTGTACAAGAATATTATTAAATTTATTACATATTACTAGATGATGATAAATTTATATTAGTAAGAATTTTAATGTTGTCTTGAAGTAGATGTCATGATTAGTGCGGGGGGGGGGCATACAATTGTAATAGAGTTCTGATATGTGTGTTGACTCTGTGTCTTTCCTGTCTAGTGCATGATATATGCACTCAAAAATCAGTGTTCAACTCCTCAGAATGTTACATACTTGTAGCTGCTGACTGTTCTAGGGTCACATGTAGCAGGATATGATGGCTTCAAGTTCAAGTCTCCTTCAAATCCTAGCCAATGAGAAATATTCATCATGTGACCTCATCTGAACTTTTCAGTTCACTAACTTCTTTTGTTGTATCTGGTCACTTGGCTAGTGCTCAGCGAGTTTGGAATTGTTCTGTGATTATGCTGCATGTTAAGTTGAAAAGTGTTAATCAAAATTATGACAAGGAAATAGAAGTACTTAAACTTGAATATAAAACTAGAAGTAATACATCTCTGTGAAGTAAACAGCATGCCAGAAAGTGAAATAGAAAGATGCTATGGATTGATTTCTGTGACTTTGTTCATCATTTTGAAGAACAAAGACCAAAATACAGTCAGCTGTTCTTTGTGATGGAAGACCAGTGATACAGAGTCAAGTGCAGACTGGATGGAGTAATGATCTGGAATCCACACTTTTTCATTAGTTTGGCAGGAAGTATCAGCTGCTATACCTGTTGGTGGACCAGTGATCAAGGCAGAAGCCAAGATCCTGAACTTTAGGTTGGAAAACCTGAACAAATGGATCACTAGAGTGATTTGCACATACATGGCAGGATAATAATAATAATATTATTATTATTATTATTATTTCTTCCTTATTCCATTACATCTATAGTAGGCTAAAGCCTTAGATACAGAATTGTGTCAATTTATCTTGCTAATATTATCAAGCAATTGTCAAAAAGACTTATAATATATGACAGTGTTTGTTTACATCATAATACAATTACTGTCTAGCACAATACACTCAAAATTATCATTTAAAATAAAAATTTATCCTCAAAATTAGTCTGTTTGCACCTGCTCGCACCGGTTCTTCGTTTGCGGATTTTCTTCTTTTTTCTTCTACCCTTTAGATGTAGGCGACACGTTCTTCCGAAATGTCGGTTAACACAATATCTACATGACACCACATCCCAGAAGACTGCTCTCTTCATAGTCACCATTGTGAAAACCTCAAATCTTACACATGACTATCATTTACAGAAGTTCTTTTATTTTCACAGGCTCTTTATCATGGCCGCTTCATCTACTCTGGATTCACTATGCCCTTCTACAAGAGGATGCTGAACAAGAAACTAACAATGAAGGACATAGAGTCTATTGATCCTGAATTTTACAACTCCTTGGTGTGGATCAAAGACAATAACATTGATGAATGCGGCCTTGAACTGTACTTCAGTGTAGATTTTGAAATTCTTGGACAAGTGATTCACCATGAACTAAAGGAAGGTGGTGACAAGATCCGAGTGGCTGAGGAGAATAAGGAAGAATACATGAGGTAGTACATTATATAGTAAAATGCCGTTTGTACAGTACTAAAATTAAAAAGGTAAGGTTAAGTTATCCCTGTGCTTAACTAATGAAGCAGTATGCCATGAAGTTGTATGGGGGAATGGATGTATAGATCCACATTTAATGTGGTAGGTTATATTATTGTGTAATTAGTTTGTGAAAAATATATATTGTAATGTGTTTAGTTACTGAAACTGCCATTGGATTGTTAATTTGGTTTATTCAACAACCTACAAGTCTCGACTACAATTAATTATAACAACGTTACGGGTTTACACCATTTACAAACCCTACACACAAATCAGTTCACTCTGTTACGATCAACTCATAACTCACCGCTGGCTAACTGACTTGAGAACTGTCTTTGGCGCCTGATACACTTTAACTGTCTTTGGTGGCTGTGTAGTTCCCTTATAAACCCTCGTTCCGGACAACGCAGAAAACAGCCACGTAATAGGCACCACTGTTGTCTGGCGCCGTGTTGCTAGTAACGCTGTCGGGAGTTGTTTACGGGTACGTAGCAATTGCAGCGTTGCGTGTTACGTCATGGTATGAAGCGGTGCCACGCAGCCCGGGGAGGGGGGCTACGTCACCGTGGTCAGAGCTGCCACGGTACTGCTGGGGGAGGGAGGGGTTGTCCTCCATTGCGCAACATGTCACACTATTAACATCAAAGTACCACATAAAACAAATTATCTAGGCTGCCATGTTTTGAACCTTACAGTTCACCATTAGGAGCAGTCAAATGAAAACGGGTCACCACACATAACTCACATGGCGCGCAAGCTGGTACCACTGGAATTTGCTTATGGTACGAACATCTGGTGGGGACTCGGGAAAGCACAGTGACAATGTGCCCTTGCACACTAGTCGTTTGTTTATTGTGCTGGAAGTAAGGTTAGCACTATGTGTGTGGTCATCCAACATCAGTAATGGAGGTGGGTAAACAACAGCAAAGTGTAGTGCACTTTTTGACTGCTGAAGGAGTAGGAGGACGAGAAATTTGTCATCGTATGTTTGTTGTTTACGGCGAACGCAGCATGTCACTTTCACATGTGCTGCTTGGCATAAGAGATTCTGAGAGGGATGTGTCACTGCAAGATGATCCTTGCCCAGGACAGGCTCACTGTGTCATCACTCCTGATATTATTGCTGCGTTGGATTGTCGTATCTGGGCAAACCGAAAATTAAAAAGGAAATGTTTGAACTTATATTTATATTAGTTTTGCCCAGGGCAAGTGGTAGCGTAGTGGTTGAGGTGATACGCTACAAGCCGGAAGGTCACGGGTTCAAATCCCGATGAGGTCATTCAGTTTTTTTCAGTTGACCTAATCCTTCCAGCTGCACTAGGCCCAGGGGTTTACTCAGCCTCTAACAGAAATGAGTACCAGGAATTAATTAAATAATTTTCCTGGGGAGTAAAGTGCGGCCGGTGCTTAAGGCTGATAACCCTACCGCCATCTTTGAGCCGATTGTCTAGATAATGTGGGACCCTCAACGTCTCACAACCCTATGGGCCTTCACGGCCTGGTACAGGGATAGCTTTACTTATTTTACTTATTAGTTTTGTCCTGTTGCATAAATCAGAACATTTAGGATGATATGCATCGTATATACATTACAAACTGAGTTTAAAAATTTTTGACAGTGGTGTGACATTGTTTAATACTATTATTCTGGACTGTGTCCATCACTCCATTTTATTAAAACTCTGACTGACTCCATGGAGCTGAGTTCTTCTTGAAAGTCGACAAGATCCTGCCACTGGGCTCTGTCTGAGCCAGATGAATCCAGTCCATGCTGCCCCATCCTTTTTCTATTTCTCCTATTTCACTGTGTTTTGGAAATTAGTTTTATTTGCATCTTCAGGTGTATAGGATACAAAATAATACCTATTCTGTTCGGTCCCAAGGTCCGTGGTTTGATGGTAGCTCCATCTGGAGACCAACAGAATAAGTTTCTTTTGTTATCCTCGTCACCTGAACACAGGACAAATTTCCAAAACTCGGTGGTTTAATAAACTCAGACAATGTAGAAATTCCAAAATAGTGGTCTTAAACAATGTGTAGACTGTCTTTCTGTTTCCTTACTGTCTCCTTTTTGTGAGTCGTATGATGATCAGATGTTTGTTTCTATGAATCAGCATTGGTGCAAAACAGTCTTAAATAATGTTATATATGTTGTTGCATTATATCATTAACATAAAGCACACAAAGATAGTACACAACAGGTATAAGTTTAGATAGATGTGGGGTTATAGTACCAGTTCAAAACCAGACTAGCAATCTCAGAAGGAATACAGAGCTCATCAGGATCCTCAGGTAAGTGGATAAATTTTAAACTTCGATAATACATGAAAACAAAAATAAAAATCTATTAGAAAAAGGCAAGTAGAATGATTAACAAATCATAATATAAGACAATAAAAGTATAACTTGTCAAGTAGGCAGTAGAAATAATAATACATCCATATAATATCAACAGAGGAAGAATTCAGACAAAGCATGGAATCCCAGCACCAGATTATTAGGGCACTCCAGTGAGCATAGATCAGGAAAATTCCAGGAAGAGCATGTTACAAAGAAGACGAAGTAAGTGACGAGAGGAACACTAGGTGAAATTGCTTGATAATAGGTTAGAGTCGAATAGTCGACTGCATATTTGTGTGTGTGTGTGTGTGTGTGTAAGCAGTGCATGGTCATTCAGCACATTTATTCACTATGTAATCTTCAAATCTTACATAAATTATAATTAAGTAATTTCAAATTGTTATCCACCATGAAAATTAACTCCTGAATCTCCAAAGAGCTTGTAAAAGAAGAAGCAAAGTATAGTATGTAAATGTAGAATTTGAGGTTCCCACAGCTATAATTGTGAAGTATTCTAACTTCTGGGATATAACTCCATGTAGTCCATTAAAGGCCAGTTGACATTTCAGAGAAACATGTCACCTCCATCCTCAGAGTTAAAGAGTAAGCCCAGCATGAAGCATGCAGTAAGTGTAGTAAGTGGTTTACAGAAATGCAGGATTGTACAGAAACAGGGGAATTTGGAACCCAAGCTGTCAGTACCCATTTGCTTTTTCAGAGAACTGGAGTGAACCAATATGAGACAGGAGAAGACTGATGTTGTCCCTTGAAAGGGCCAATTATGCTGGGGAGAGAAGTGATAGATGTGTGGTGGGCAGAGAGCTGAGGGGTGTGGAAGAGAGGTTGTAAGCATGTGGTTGGGGATAAGAGACCAAAAACAGCAGAAGGAGGCTGGGAAAGGAAAGAAAGAAAGTTTTAGGCTTAATGGGTGCATAGAGAGGGCTGGGTTGGTGTCCTGATAAGGACAGTGTGTACCGACCTAGGTGGCTGAGTGGAAAACCCTGTAAGGGAGCTATCCACAATCTTTCAGGAAGGACATGAGAGGTTTCCATGATTGTCTCAGGCAGAGGCTGCTATCCCTGATAATGTTCTTGGGGTGCATATCAATCTCATTCACATCTGTGATGATATGATCCATATGTCTGGGTTTGATGGAGATGATGCTGGTATTGTGGAGCTAGAAGCAGTGTTCCAAGCTGATGCTTTGCTTTGCCAGGGCTGATTTGTCCAGGTGTTCTAGCTGTGTATACTAATGGTGCACCTTCAACCTGGTGTTGATCAAACAGCATGTCTGTCTGAGGTAGACCTGCCTGCATTCACAGGGGAGAAGCGAGCTGGGTAAGACTAGTTTGGAGAGACTTCGAAGTTTGCAGTACCGTGGCAGTGTCACATGATGAAATCCCTGTATGAAACCGCAACTGTAAACCTTGATAGCTTACATATTGTCAATTGCATCTAATGATGAACTGTAAGGTTTGAAACATATCAAGCTAAATAATTTGTTTCATGTTGTTCTTATTTATGGTAAATACATATTTCACATAAATATGTGTCTTCTTTGCTAATCATATTCCTAGTATTCTGCCAGTCAGGAACTAGTATGAGGAGAAGTGGATGTATAGTGTAAAAGAGTAGTTTCTCATTTTTTGGCATCATCAGGCAGCTAAAAAAAGATGATCCTCCAGACTGGAGGATTTGGAGGGGTATAATGACACATTTCAGGAAAGAAATTATTATGAAGTGCTGTGATGAACCTTGAACTTAGACATATTTTTTAGTACTTACTAAGTATTGGTAAATGAATATGAGATTTGGAGTGTCACCTGGAGGTAAGAGATCACTTAGGAAACCAAGGCATAGATAGACCATACAGGAACAGAGTATGAGGGTGTAGACTAAATTTAACTCATGGTGGTGTCCAATGTCAAACTTGTGAACATGACTCCATAAAAAGCAGGGAAGTTTTTGAAGAGGTGAGTGAAGCTTCTCAAGGACTCTGCTTTATGGAGTTTTTTAATTGAAGGTAGTAGTAGTTTTTATGAAGTAAAGACTTGATCCTGTTACATATGAGGGACATTGCTAATGTAAACTGGGTGTGTTTATGGGTGCCTAAACTAAGTGAACATCATTTTGCAGACTGATGACAGAGTGGCGGATGACACGTGGTATAGAGGATCAGACCAAAGCATTTCTTGATGGCTTTAATGAAGTTGTTCCTTTGGAATGGCTGAAGTATTTTGATGAGCGTGAACTGGAACTGATGCTATGTGGGATGCAAGAGATTGATGTTGACGATTGGCAACGCAACTCTATCTATCGTCATTACACCCGAAACAGCAAGCAGGTGACGTGGTTCTGGCAGGTGAGAACATTTGTATTAACATAGTAAAATGTAAAGGCAAAAATTGCATTCTCTTTATGCCAAAGCACCATAAAGGCATATAGCTGGCATGGAGGTAAAGCTCGTTACACTCAGCACTAGTTGGAAATAAGCAAGCTTCACGTGGGCGACACTCCCTCCAGGGAAAGAGACCTCAGTACCCCTTGGAGAGGAAGCTGGTTGGACTTCAGAGTTAATACAAATACCTGGTTCTATCAAAAAGTTCCAGAAATATGAATTTTGCGCGTGAATGGTTATGAGTACATCGAAATACCGCTGGGTGTCTCCCCACACACCCTTCTTGAATCAGTGTGGCCAGCGGCGTCGAGTTGAGTTGTTGGGTTTATTGTTGGTTAATGTGTTTCCACAAGCTTGCGGTTTTGTGATGGTTAACCTGAGAGAGCAGCATGTCTGTATAAAGTTTTGTTTTAAACTTCAGAAAACCACTACAAAAACACACCAAATGTTGAAACAAGCTTTTGGTGACAACAGTTTAGGCCAGACACAAACTTACGACTGGTATAAGCGTTTCAAAAATGGCCGAACATCGACCGATGATGACGATTGTTCGGGATGACTGTTAACTGGCACCACACCAGAAAAAGTCACAAAAATTAGGGATCTGATTCTGCAAGATCATAGACTGACCATCGAACACCTTGGGACTAAGTTATGGTACATGTAAACGAATTTTGTCAGAGGGACTGAATATGAGGATTGCGGCAAAGTTTATGCCATAACTGCTGAAAAATGTACAGAAGTACTTGGAAGTCTGCAGGGAACTTCAACAAAAGCTTTAAGAGGATCCAGACTTTCTTTTGAAGGTTGTCACTGGTGACAACAGTTGGGTTTATGGTTGCAACCCTGAAAATAAGCAGCAGTCGTCGCAATGGAAGAGCTGTTCTTCACCTCAGCCAAAAAAAAGCTTGACAAGTCAAGAGCAACGTTAAATCCATGTTGATCTGTTTTTTGATATTGACGGAATTGTTCATAAGGAGTTCATCCCTCCTGGTCAGCCAATAAAGAATTATATCGCGATGTTCTAAGGCGTTTGAGGGAGGACATGAGAAAACGTCCAGAGAAGTGGCGCACGAACGACTGGGTACTGCACCATGACAACGCACGACCGCATATGGCTTACATTGTGCAGGAATTTTTGGCTAAAAACAAGATGGCAGTTGTTCCCCACCCACCGTACTCACCAGACTTAGCTCCATGCGACTTCTTTCTCTTCCCCAAGATGAAAATCAAGTTGAAGGGGTGAAGATTTGATACAGTTGAGGAAATTCAAGCAGAAACGGAGACAGTACTAAACACCCTAACAAAGAAAAACTTCCAGGATGCATTTCAAAAGTGGCAGAAATGCTGGGATTGGTGTATGCGCTCCCAAGGGGACTACTTTCAAGGTGATGGTGCAGAATAAGATCCAGGTATGACGTAATAGTTTTTATTAATATATTTCGGGAACTTTTGGATAGCACCAAGTATAATGTAAAGATGATAATCCATGCTTGTACTGATAATTTGGCCAACTTTAGTGACTTTAGGGTCCCCAGAGGGTGAAGCATCCAAAATTAACAGCCATGGGGATTCGTTGCACTGACCACGCGACACCCTCTATCTACTAAAATTGGCAGTAAGTTCGCTAACAAGCGGCTGTCACTTGGTCGGTACGGTCCACTTTGCGGACTAAGGCCACAGGGTTTTGCGTGCGTGCGTGTGTGTGTGTGTGTGTGTGAGAGAGAGAGAGAAGCATTTAATACCTGTAGTCAGTACAATCCTGAGATGTCAGAAGTACATCTAGTGTTGACCTCTGAACGTAAGCTGTGTTGTGCCAGACTGATTCACTTATCATTAGCAGATTGAGATACCTGATACATTTTCCACTATACAAGACCAAATGTTGCCACACTTAAACCCTGGTATGACATGGAATCTCATTGCAGTTAATCTGACCCATCATTTTGAATCATTCTGCATTCTCATGCCCTGCAATCCTAATCATAATTGCAGTTGTCACCCAAATTAACATAATGATGAATGAGTGAAGAGAGCAGCCTTGAATTCTCTTGTAATTAAGGTAAAAGGTGAAAAGTGATGAGAAATTTAGAAGAGTGGTTTCAGGAAAAAAATCCTGCTATATTGGTTTTTTAATCTACAATAGGCTCATACCTGAATCTCTTCCATATAGCAGATTACAGAAATTAAACTTTTGCAGTAATATCATCTATGTGTTTTTTCTTCTCTTTAAGATGCTTTTTATATATACGAAGAGTGTTCTGTATATAATGCCTTTTTTTTTAATGAAAGCTACAACAGATACAGAAAGCATAATAATGCAGTTAAATAGAGTAAGGTTTCAGCTACTTACAGTTATTTTTCCACATAATCACCGCCATTCGTTATGCACTTTTGCCAGCAATGAACAAAAGCCTGTATGCTGCGCTCGTAAAAGTCTGTGCCAGCAGAGGCAAATCACTTTCTTACAGCTGCCATGACAGCATCGTTGTCTGGAAAATGTTGCCCACGTGTAGTCCATCTTTCATAGGCCCAAAGAGATGGAAGTCTGAAGGTGCTAAATCGGGGCTATAAGGTGGATGTGGTAGGACGGTCAAGCCAAACTTTGCAATGTGCACGGTGGTTTCCAAACTGGTATGGGGTCTAGCATTATCATGTTGCAAGCGAAAGGTTGTCTGCTTCTCTGTCCTGACCTGGGAAATACGGGCTTTCAGCTTAATCAGCGTCGCCTTGTAGCATTCAGAATTGACAGTCGCACCAGGTTCCAGGAAATCCAACAAAATCACACCCCACCTATCCCAAAAGACCATGCACATCACTTTCCCTGCCGATGGCTGTGTCTTGAACTTCTTTTTTCTTGGGGAATCCAGATGTCACCACTCCACGGACTGTCTTTTGGATTCTGGCTCCTAGTGGTGACACCATGTCTCATCTCCTGTGAAGATGCTGTCCAGAAATTTGTCACCTTCAGCCTCAAACTGATGCAACAGGTCCTGAGAAACTTCCATTCGATGAGCTTTGTGGTCCTGTGTAAGCGTCCACGGGACCCATCTGGAACAAACTGCGATAATCCAGCTTCCCCAACATCGTTTCCAATGCGTTACAGCTGATATTAAGCCGTGCACACTGTTCCCTGGTTGTTATCTGCCGATCTGTACGGATGAGGCGCTGTTCATTGTGAGGAGTGGCAGCTGAGCAGGGACGCCCAGGGCGTGGTTTGTCACGTACTTCACTTTTGCCACTGTTGAAAAGCACTACCCAGCACCTCACTGTGCTGACATCCACTGTATCATCTCCGTACACCTTTAGCAAGTGTCGATGGATGTCAATGGGTGCAATTTGTTCAGCAGTGAGAAATTCAATAACACATCCCTGTTTCTTACACACTTCTATGTCAGACGCCATTTTGGTAGACTGCTCTGCTGTCGCTATCTGTTGCACAACAACCAAACTAACAGTACATTGGTGGGAAGGTTCAACCTTTACTACAACACCACCAACATCCAGCTCAGATGTTGCATATTAACACAAAAAAATAGGACGCATTTTATACAGAATGCCCTTAGTATTTCTGTCATCAGTGGTTTTGGAGAAATGTGCATTTTCAGAAAATGGGGCACAGTTTTAATTAAGTGCCAGAATTTAATTCAGGCTGTGAGTGACTACAAGGAAGATTTAAATGTGGTACAGTGAAGATTAAGCACCACACCAAAGCGGCCTCCGTAGTCTAGAGGTAACGTTCCCACCTCATGACTCGTAGTACGCAGGTTCAAATACCTGTCGTCAAATTTTTAAGGGCGGAAAAATTCAGGGAACAAGTCCTCCGGGAGGGACTTTAAGCCGTGGGTCCTGTGTCGTAGCTTTACGACACGTAAAAGAACCTCATATCTCCAAAGGAGGCCACTGAGTCAAATTCAAGGACGTTTCCCGCCCAACANGGCGCGACTGATGGTAAGCACAATGGACCAGTACAGGTCTCAGTGCATGGGGAAACCCACCCTCTCCAATAACTAACTAACTAACTAAGCACCACACCATGAAGACATGGGAAACTAGAGGTATAGCTTCACATATTCTTAGCCTCATACTGTAGCAACTCCCCTAACAGTAGATTCCCCAGTATTCATTGCATACACAAACTTCCTTTCCGGTCAGAAAGGAACTGACCTGTGAAAGGTCATGTGAAACATTATGTGTGTGGTTGTGAGCCAGGTGAAATGAAGGAAAGGGAATAACATAAAGGACAGATAACTTTGAACAGTGTTAGAGGAGGGAAGGTCTATGAATTTCTGAACTCTTGAGTTATAAATGTAACACTTATTGTTTCAGTTTGTTCGGTCAATGGACAGTGAGAAGCGAGCTCGTCTGCTGCAGTTTGTTACGGGTACTTGCAGAGTTCCGGTTGGGGGATTTGCGGAACTCATGGGTGAGTTAATTAGGTTTCACACAACAGATACCCAGTGTTTATGAATGCAGTTTATGTTTACAACACCTGAATGGTTTCGTTGATTGTAGTCATATTTTGTATTTATAAGTGATTAATCTCATTTCTGGGATATGAAAAATATGAACCTCAAAATTCTCTCTGTACATGAAGGTGAAACAAAATTGTAACCTTTCTGAAAGAAGTGAATCTAATAATTTTGATCAGTTTTCAAGTTGGTTATAGAGAATGCAGTCCTAAACAATGTTTCACAGAGAATTATTGGGTTTTGGTACTTTTCCATTGTCCAGAATTCTAGGTAATAGAAGACACGACATTTCGGAAATTGGATCTGTTTCTGTCTTCAGGTGATGAAGGAAGACACCTACTCAGTTTGGCCCTTAGAAATCACTGGAGTGATTGAGATTAGCTTCTTCTAAGGGGCCCAACTGAATAGGTGTCTTCCTTCCTCACCTGAAGACAGAAACAGATCCAGTGTCTGAAACATCATGTCTTCTCTTGCCTAGAATTGCGGACAATGTAAAAAGTCCAAAATCCCAGTAATTCTGTGTGTCATCCACCATTGTCAGAATCCTATAGAATGTTTCACAGGCCTTACATCCCAAATAATTACACTTACAACTGATATGGTAGTGTTTGTGCTTGCACTGTCTTTACCCTTGAAGCCTCTAATTTTAGTGCTTTATTTTAGACTGATATATGCATTGAGTTATTGCATCTTTGTATGCATTGTCCAGCTGGCCCAGCGTTCCATTTTCATGCTGTTAAAATACCCTGTTATTTTAAGCCAGCCTATGGCAGCTGTGGCACTGAAATTCCATCCACTGCTTTATACAGACTTCCATATTGCTTATATGCTATGAGTAACTCACAAACATCTAGCCTAGAAGAGTCAGTGTTAGACTGAGAAGATAAGGTTCCAGTCATATTCATTCAAAGTGAGCATTCTGTCGGTATGCCATCACATTATTTCAAAGTCATATCAGCATCTGAGTCAGAAATAAGATGAAATTAAGGGAAAGTTCACACATATGTACATGTGAGAGAGAGAGAGTTTAATTCCTGGAATGGCCTTGTGAAAAATTGTCTCCTTGTGAAGCTATGCACTTCGTAAGACAGTGGTGACAGTGCCAGAAACAGTCTTGAAAATCATTTTCAGGAATATCTCATAACATTATCATGTTGCATTGGATGTCAGGAATCTTTGTCCCTTCAGGGCATTTTTTTAATTTTGGAAAGAGCCAAAAATTGCAGGGGGCTAAGTCAGGTGAATAAGGTGGATGGTCCATTTTTGTAATGGATTTCTTGGCCAGGAACTCCCAAACTCTTTAACACCACATGTGCAGGGGCATTGTCATGGTGGAGAATCCACTTGTCAGGCCAGAGTTTGGGGCTTTTCCTCTGAACAGATTCTTGTAATCTTATCAGCATTTCCAAATAACACTGTTGATTCACCATTTGTTCTTGTGAATTGAATTCATACTGAACTATCCCCTTGTGATTGAAGAAACACAAGCATGGTATTGAACTGCAAGCAAGACATGCATTCTTTTTTTGGCAGAGGTGAATTCTTTGTTTTCCACTGCATACTCATTTTTTCCTGGGTTATTTTGTAAACCCCACGTTTCAACACCGATAATGACCCTATCAAACATCTCTGCATTGTCTAAAAGATCAGATGAAACGTGAAGCTGACATCATTTCTGGTTGTCTCTCAAGATTCGAAGCACTGTCTTTGCAGATATTTTTCTCATTTCCAAATCATCCGTAATAATTTCTTGCACTATTTCCCTATTCATACTCAGTTCTTGTACTATTAGTCTCACTTCTAATCTTTGATCTCAGCAGACCAAGGTTCATACTCTGTCCACATTTGCATCTGTCCTGTGTGTTTTTGGCTGCCCACTTTCTCGTTCATCTTGCACATCTAGCCCTTCCTTGAACTTCCTATACAAACAGACTCCATGGCCTGTAGTCCTCAGGTGAACTATACTGAGCGACTGTCGCTTGTTGGCGAAGTTAATGCCAACTTTAGCGGATAGAGGATGTCGCATGGTCAGCGCAACGGATCCCCACGGCCGTTAATTTCGGTTTTCTAGACCGGCTTGAACCTCCTACGCCATTCATAAACACTCAGTTTCTATATAGTGTATTCACCATAAGCCACTATTAATAGAGCTAACTTTTCACCATCACTTTTACCAATTTTCACACAAAACTTGATGTTTATCCGCTGCTCCAGATTCTTGTCACTTATTTTTCTGCTAACAGTGTACCATGGACACATACTACTTCTGCTGCTTGGGTACATGAGTTTGCCTGATTCGACATGCTGCGGCCATTGTAGGAATGAAATTGTGGTTGGGATGGGGGGGAGTGTGAGTGGAAGGTTGGGCAGCATCAGGAGTTTTGAACATAGATATTCTGCATTGTAATCCATTCAAATAAAAATAATGAATACTAGGCATGTGCTGAATCTGAAATTTTTAAAGTCAAATTGAGAACAAATTTCTCAGTCTTAATTTGAATGCTAGTTGCTTGGTCTTGAGTGTAACTGTTGGAAATTCTAGCAAGAATCAAGACATCAGTAAAATCCATTCCGTTTATATTTCTGCCCATATGCAATGTTTCTCCACTTTTCAGGTTTATCTCTCACAGGGTACGCTTTGTGGTGTTGCTCACAATTGAAAGGCTTTGTACGTTCCAGATTTTTCTAGAGTCTGAATTTTTTTCTGATGTCCCTCAGATGAGTGGTAACACATGGTGCCTTTCCTGGTTTCATGACCAATTGATTTTTTTTTTTTTTGCTAGGTGCTTGTTTTATGAATCTTATGGAGTGTCCATTTCACGTTAATGTGACCCTTACAGTTGCTTGTTCTTTTAGACTGTCTTTGTCTATACATATGACTTTTGTGCTGTTACCTAGGCATTTGATTATATACCTTACCTGGTACCAAGCAGGGCATAATCAAATGCTTAAGTAACAGCAGAAGCCATATAGATTGAATCCTGCATGTTTTGTCTGGGCATTAATATTGTGACATGTTGCGCAATGGAGAACCCCTCCCTACCCAGAAGCAATGTGGCAGCTCAGGCCACAGTGACGTGGCAGATGAGTCAGCACTCCCCCCCCCCCTCCGCGGTGACGTAACGCGCAACGCCGTAATTGCTACGTACCCATAAACAACTNAACGCTGTTGACGCGGGCAACAGGTAACAGCGAACGGAATAAAAGCCGTCTGAGCAGCAAGCGAGGGCCAGTGTGTGATCAACAGTTCTCAAGGCAGCAGCCTACGAGTAGAGTTGAAATATAGCAGCAGTCGCAAGAAGAAGACCCGAACGCATGGTTACAAGATTTTATGTGACAGTGTGCGATAACTAAGAAGTCTTTTGAAGACTTATTGTGTGCTTTCAAGACTTTGTGTGTGCTGTAGTACAGTTATATTTGGAGTGTGTAATTCAGAGAGTCTTGTATAGCTCCCGCGTTATTAATACGTGAAGACTCTTGAAGATAGCGTTAAGAGATTTTGTTGTAGGGTTCGTAAAGTGTGGAAACCCGTAACATTGTTATAATTAATTGTAGTCATTACTTGTAGGTTGTTCAATAAACCAGTTAACAATCTGAACGGCATCTTCAGTAACCCAACACATTACACTGGTGTCAGAAGTGGGATCAAACTTAAACACGCCACAAACAAATTGTTGTGCATTGAATATTTTATTGCTACAAAATGGAGATGCAGCAAATGATGGAAATGCTTCTCAAGGAAATCAGAGCTAGCCAAGAAAAAAACGGAGGCAAAATTGGACGCCAGCATGAAAACCCATCAAGAAGAGATGAGGGCAAACCAAGCAAAAGCAGATGCCAACCGAGTGTGAATGGAGACCAATAGGAGGAAAGACAAAGAGGATTTCCTGGCGAAATTTCCTGTGTTAGTAACTAGACACAGTTTTTGGATTGATAATTGAATTTGTTGAATAATAATTACTCTTATTTACAAATAATCGCATGGTTTGCAGGTATTTACAGTCATTCACAGTTCATTATATTACTCCTGGTTGGTTCCTTATTGGTTCTGTCATCACAAACATGTTGCCAGTCTTCAGTCTCTAATAACGGGGACGTAATGGCTAACTCTGAGCTCCCTGTGTGTAGCCCTTTCTTGGATTAACTATAAAGCATCCTCCAACAGTTCCTGTACTGTTGTGCCTGTTGGAGTTAGTCGTGGTGCGTATATGTGGTTGTCAGTGATTGGTACCCAACATTGCTCAGCAGTGGACACCTCTGTGACATGTTACTTTTGGTATCATGTTATGATACTGTGTCCTATGACATGTTTTCAGGGATTCCAGGATCAACATAGAACATTGTTAATGATCAGGTAAATGTGAAAGATGAATCTGCCCACAGGCTTGAATTCTGATAAAAAAAGTTGTGAATGCTTTCTGACTGTTGAATACTCTAGCTCTTCAGCATCACTCCCAGGTATTGAAGGATTTATGAAAATTAAAGTGATAACAGTCCTTTCAGTGATGTCAAACAGTGCAGAGAAATTTTCAAATTGTTATGTATTTTTCTTTTACTTTTTTGTAATGTAAAAGAAGCACATTTTCTGAGTTTTTTTGTGCCCATGGCATCTTAATTTTTTTATGACTTCCATAATTGTGTGTATGAGGCCAGAAGGGTTGCACTGCCAAAAACACATGGCAAAAGGGTGATTTAGTGAACTGTAGTTCTTTAGAGAAAAGTGTGTATCATACTGTTACATTGTACTTTGAAAACGTTTTTGTGGCACACAGTATTTCATTCCATATGTAAAACTGGGCTACTGTTACAGGGAGCAATGGTCCACAGAGATTCTGCATTGAAAAAGTTGGCAAAGACACATGGCTACCTAGGTCTCACACTTGTTTCAACAGACTGGATCTCCCTCCATACAAGAGTTATGACCAAATGGTAGAGAAATTGAACTATGCCATCGAAGAGACAGAAGGTTTCGGTCAGGAATAAAGTGCAGTTCTGTAGTGTGCAGTAATAAGAAGTGGTTAGAAGACTGGCCAAGTCATAGGTAAACCAGCAAGATGTGAAACATGCTAAAATGTAAGAGGAGGTTGGTGCTTAAGATTTGTAGTACAGTCTGAAACAGATCAGAGCATTAGTCCCACAGTGTGCTGCAGATAGCTAGGTCATATACACAAAAACTTATTTCATACAATTTGGCTAAGGATTACTGTACCTGTTATTTGTGTATATAATGCTCTTAATGTTAATGAACTGATTCTTAATTGTTATGAAGCTCATTGTATACAGGTACATTTAGCATGACACACTTTATTGGTTTCTTTTTTGTTATGAAAACAGTGACAAAATTTTGTTAACTCTTGCTTAATGCATGAAATAATGGGGCCTATTTTGGACTTTTTATGTCATGATACATTCTATTTCTTTATACTGCAGTAAATCTTATAATATCATTGTTTTATATATATATATATATGAATATAAAATAAATATTGAAATTGTGGCTTATATAAGGATATCAAAGAATCCCCTCTCTACCAGGGTCTAGAAGATTTAAGACTAGTGTTTCTACAGTATTTTGTTTTTTCCAACCTTTGTTTCACAGGGACAATATTAATATCATTATTATGCTTGAAATTTTGAAGAAGCGATTATGTGGCATTTAAATGAATTTAGGCACGTATTTTATATAATGTAATATATATTGTGCCCAAACGAGGTTTGCAGTTTAGCTTCAAAGTTTTCTGATAGTCATATTCGTGGAAGTCATATACAGATATCACATTAAGTTATAATGCATTATGTATTATAATGTAAATATCTATAATATTAATATCCAAAGATAATGTAGATACTGAATGAGTATTTCAAGAGTTTTTTCCTTTTCTGTATAGCTACAAATCAGAATCAATTTTGTACTGGAGGAGCTGGTTTTCTAACTGAACCATCCCATAATCTGCAGATTTTATGTGCTTTTCCGGACTATTGATTTTCTTTTTTTAAAGGTTGTCTTGAAATGTAATATATTTTAACTACAAGTGCAAAAGAAATGGCATATTTTTTAAAAAAATGCAAATTAAAATATGGTAACATTATTTTTATGAGGGGAAAGGGGTAAATGTATGGCACACAATTGCTTTTCACCACAGCCTGTAGATTTATGTTGCTAGGGATTACATACATAAAGGAACTGTCTAGAGGAAACAAAATTGAAATAATACAACTCTGTGACAAAGCTTAGTCAATTCTACAGCAAGAAAAGGTTTGGGTAAATCATAGTTGTACTGTGGATTTTGTTCATTTCTGAAATTTGATTCCCAAACTGAAATTTTCTTCCATGAACAAGTGATCCAAGCTGAGGTATTTATATGTGTGTATGTGTGCATATGCATGCATATGTACACACACACTAGCAAGCCATGATTGAAGTACAACCACATCTGTCAGTATGTAAATATTGAAATATGTATACATATGATCTATTTAAAGGGTCTCAAAAATAAATTTATAGTGTACAACTTCAATGCAAATAAAACTTCTCAGAGAATAAGGTGACAGTCACCAGACTGTTGAAAATTCATGTTCGTACCTAACTTTGGAGAGAAAGCTGTCCAACCCAGCTCCCTGGTAATAAAGTGCTCTTAACCTTTATATGCTTAGCACACTGATCCATCAGCACGTCAGGTAAAGACCAGAACACTCAGGCAGCCAGTCTATCAACTCCTTATGAATCATACTCCTGTTAGTTATATAAATGGGTTCAAAGGTGGCAGTACAAGACAGTACCTAATTCTCCAAGTTCTATTTCACAGTTTTTTTACTCAGATAACATCCCTTTATATATAAAACATTTTTTTAAACAAAATATGTTTAGCTCACATATTTACTTGGTGGTTCAGTGCTTTCTTGGTCTGTGGTTTTAGTTGTGGTTTACTATGAATATATCATAGTTTAGTGGCGGTGTTTGTTTTATATTGTCATGCATAGGGGTGACTTATATAAGACAGGTTTTGAGTTGGATGATTGGATTTATTGCACCCTGTACATTCACACAGTTCGGGACCACAGGCAATTACAGCACTATCTCTGTTCTACACAGTTCAGCGTTGCACATGCACTAGGATTCTCAGTCTTCACTAGCCATGTCCTGGCAACAGATTTATCCCAGTCTCACTGTAATTCACACATGAAGTCTTGGCACAGTCTAATTCCTTTCTTGCCACTTCTGCAACTGCCAATACCAAAGACTTGACCCGATTCTCTACTGACTATATTCTGTACTCCCTGCTACTCTGCTTCTATGAGAGCAGTCAATTTAAAGGTACAGCACCAAATTACATCAACATATTGCAAAAAAAATCTTCAGTAAAGTCAAGAAACACTACATACTAATGTTTATTTTTCCACATAGTCACCTTTAGCATTCAGACAATAGTCCCATCATTTTAGAAGTTTAAACATTCCTTTACAGTAGTGTTCCTCTCTAAGGAATGTGAAGTATTGCACAATACAATTTGCAATGTATTTTGGTCCACAAACCTTTTTCCTGATAAAAAGGTCTTAAATGACCCTAAGAGGTAGAAATCTGATGATGCTATATCAGGACTGTGTGGTGGATGCTGCAGAACTTCCCACTTGTGCTTCTGCAACCAGGCTGCTGTCCAGCCTGAAGTGTGAGGTTGTGTTCCATCATGCAGAAGCCTCACTCCAGCAGTTAATCGTCCTGGTTTCTTTTGTTTAATGGCTTCGCACAATTTTTCAAAAGTCTCAGTATTTGTCACTGTTGTCTCTTGTTTCTGGTGGGAGAAATTCACACAGCAGGAAGCCATCACAATCCCAGAGCATGGTAGCCATTGTTTTTTTTTACCAGATGGCTCAGTTTTGAATTTTTTTGTAGTGGGTGAATTGAGGCTGTTTCCAAGTCATCGAGTTTCTTTTTGACTCTGGGGTGTACTCGTAAACCCATTTTTATCTCATGTAGTTATGCTTTCCATGAACAATTCTCCTTCATCATGATAACACCAAAAATTTTCAAGTGAAGCAGCCATTCTTTTGCTTTTGTGCTTCTTGTTGAGCATTTTCAGAACCCAGCAGGCAGACGCTTTACAGAAGTTTAAATTGGAGATTATTTCATGAATAGTGATTTTTGCAATACCTATCACTTCAGCAATTTAATGAATTTTTACTTTTTGATCTTTCCTTATCAAACCTTCAACAATGACACAATTTTCATCAGTGTGCAAAGTCCTTGGTCTGCCTCTGTGTTTCTGTAGATCATCATTCAGTGCCATTTAACCATCTTTAAATTTGTTGCACCACACAGCAACTTCCTTTCGACTGAAAACGTTCTGGCCATAAACACCCACTAACCTGCAATGAATCCCGCTCTGACTCACTCCTGAATGCAGGAATCTGACCACTGTGTGGACCTCAAACTTAGAATAATTTCCAGTCACCTCAGCCATTCTATATGCTTGTAAAGCTTAGACACTTGGATGGAGAACAACAATAGCACAGCTACTTCTCCTCTACCTGACGTACCAATAAATGCAAGTGACATCGACATCTTACATGCAGGCCATATATAACAAACACTTGTACCTTCAATATTGGACTGCCCACATACTATTTCTACTGTCAAAGTCAAAATTGTATTACAACTGACAGTCAGTTGGTCTGTTTCTCTTGGAATAAAGCGTCCATCTGAGGCTTAAGACCAGATCTTTATTACTGTCAGATAGTTGCAGGTTTGTTGATGTGGGGCAATATCTCTGATGAGAGGAAAGGTGTGTCATTTGCCAGAGTCACAGTCAGTAATAAGTCTGTTGTCAGTATGTAGAATTTACATTTACCATGTTATTAAATATATGTATACAGGGTGTCCCAGGAGGAATGGACCAAACTTCGGGAGGGTGTTCCTTATGTTAAAGTATGCCGATATAACCCAAAACACCTATGTCCAAAGTTGAACGGTTACGGAGATAATGGCCCAAGAAAAGTGTGGTCTTCTGGCAGGTCCACGCACTGTACCTATCAGCTGAGAGGCCTTATCTATGTTTGTCCTTGAGTGCCGTGATTCACCCTATCCGTGCTTATGTAGTTGGCTTTATCAGAACGCGCAGTCAGCACGTTACGTCAGCGCTTGCCATTCATGTGTCATGTATAGTGCTTGGAAACCCTAAGGACAATTATGACATGGCGAGCGAGTATTTTGTACTTCAATTTTATGGCTTCATGTCACTCACAAGTTAGTTTGATGTTACGTACATTATTAACATTACAGAATCCACATATTCCTGCCAGTTTTAATATGTATTTTGTAATCAACAAGTGTGCAACGCCGGTCAAAGTTTGACACTTCTCTGGCCATTATCTCCGTAACCGTTCAACTTTGGACATAGGTGTTTTGGGTTATATCGGCATACTTTAACATAAGGAACACCCTCCCGAAGTTTGGTCCATTCCTCCTGGGACACCCTGTATACAACATATACAAGGCCTCTCAGTACAGCAGATCATGCCCTATCATTGGTACTGCTACTGTCCTGCTGAACACTTCCCTATGGAAAACACCATCTTCTCTTGTCCAGAATGCGTGTTCACTAGTTCATTACCTAGCAATGGATGACCTGTGTTGTGGGAATGTGTTTACTGACCTGTTGTTTAGCAGTGCATATACACATCACAATATATTTAGTTATTTTACATTTTTAACTACACACTAGCTGGTTGAAGCTCTAGGTTAGATATCTCTGACATGTTGGAATATGTAGATTCAGTTGACAGTGATAGTGACTTCATTCTGGAAAGTGACACTGATGATGCAAGTGGAGGATGAGGAGGAGGCAGAGACAGTAAGGACCCACATGCCACACCCCCAGCTGCTCACCCTGTGTCTGTCAGTGAAGAGGACGACATGGATGAAGAATACTACAGGGAAATTCTGTCACCTGAGTAACCTCTTCCTTTCCAATTCCAAGAAATGTCTGAACCTAAGCATATGCATCCTCTTGTTGCTTACTTCCATCTCTTCACAGACTTGATCCTTACCTTCATGGTGACAGAATCCAACAGATATGCACAGCAAGCAATTAGCAGTAAAGTGGGTAATGGTGTCCACTCTGCTAAAGAACTGGACCAGATATTACAGTGCACAAGATGAAAGGATTCCTGGCCTGTATTGTAAGTATGTGCATCATCAAATAGCCAACCATAACATCATACTGATCCAACTCTTTGTTCCCAAGCCACCCCATGGTTGGGGAAAATGTTTACCAAGCATCGCTTTTCCCACTTTCTGCAGATGGTGCGTTATTGGAAAAGGGTAGCTTTTAACATCATAGCCAGAGGCCGTGCCATAGCTCAAGCGGTTAGTCACTGGCTTCCCACCACAGTGGCCCGGGTTCGATCCCGGGTCTGGTCAAGTGGGATTTGTGGTAGACAAAGTGGCACTGGGGCAGGTTTTCTCCGAGTACTTCAGTTTCCCTGCCAATCTTCATTCTACCAATTTCTCCACAATCACCCTCACCTATCATCTGGGGCTGGTACAATAGGCCAGAAGTCGCCGCAGTACAAGGGACTTAGTCCCACCCCACTAGCAATAAAAAAACATCATAACCAGGATGGTGTTCAATAGCTACATTTTTTTATTGCTAGTGGAGTGGTACTAAGTCCCTTGTACTGCAGCCACTTCTGGCCTATTGTACCAGCCCCAGATGATAGGTGAGGGTGATTGTGGAGCAATTGGTAGAATGAAGATTGGCAGGGAAACTGAAGTACTCGGAGAAAACCTGCCCCAGTGCCACTTTGTCTACCACAAATCCCACTTGACCAGACCCGGGATCGAACCCNGACAGTGCTGGAACAGATGATCCTCGGGGACCACAGGGACTCAGAAAACTCCCTGAAAAGGAGGAGTCCCAATGCGATACCTGCAATACAAAGGAGAGGAGGCAGAGAAACCTGAACAGTACTCACCAGATGCAATAAGGGGCTGCCTGGAGAATGCTTCCCTAAACACAGGTGCTAACTGCAAAAGGTATGTATGCACTGTTATACATAATGTGATGTAGTTCCAGACCAGAGAGCTCTTTGTGCATAAAACTTACATCAAAATTTAAAGAAAAATATTTTCTTTCTTACAGGCTTGCTGATAAGAAGGCCAAAAAGATAATTTTATTTTTTCCCTGAATTATGTTAAGTATTAACGCGGTAGCATAGTTGGTTGAGGGCCTATGGTACAAGCTGGAAGGTTTTGGGTTCAAGTCCCAATGAGGTCATTGGATTTTCTTCAATTGACCTAATCCTTCCAGCCACACTATGGCCCTGGGGTTCACTCAACCTCTAACAGAAATGAGTACCAGGAATTAAATAATTTTCCTGGTGAGTAAAGCGCGGCTGACGTAAGGCTGACAACCTTACTGCCATCTTTGAGCCGATTGTCTAGATCAGTGCTGTCCAACGTTCTTATGTACTCGGGCAGAATTCACTGATGCCTATGGAGGTGTGGGTGCCACCACACTACTACTACTACTACTACTACTACTACTA